TCTCTCTCTCTCTCTCTCTCTCTCTCTCTCTCTCTCTCTCTCTCTCTCTCTCTCTCTCTCTCTCTCTCTCTCTCTCTCTCTTTGATTCATATACAAATTGGATCGTGCATATTTATTCGTGTAAAAAAATAATTAGGAAACTCGAGCAAAGCTTCAAAGGCAATTTATAAATTATAATTTCCCGATTCTGACTTTCAGCGAAGGAATCAAATAAATGAAAAATAAATAAGTTTTGATTGATCCACGAAAAGCTAGTTTCAACGCTTAACAATAATAAAGCGAAAGAATGATGGAACACAAAGTTTCAAAGTTTAATTGTCGGTATTTAATTACCTCAAATTTTTTAACGCGCGAACGAAACGAAAATTTCAATTTTCCGCCACGTGGTGGTTCACGCACGTGGACAAATTCCCTCGATATATGAAATATCGGGAATATCGTAGGCCGGCACCAAGAATATTTCCATCCCGCGGAATTTGACTCCGTCCCGCGAGAGAATGATCGAGATACTCGTGTTTCGATAATCCTCGTCGATTCCCTCGTCGATCGATCTTTCGAATTCAAGAGGAGCAGTTGAAGCTTCTTCGAATTCGAAGAATAAAAAAAAATATATTGTTCACTTTGAAATTTTATTTATAATTTTATTATTAAACGTTGGTAGCAGTGTCACTATTCTGTAGTCGGCATCCTTTTGTTTGTCTTCAGCACTCGCGTATATTTTTTTTATTTTATTGTGCGTACCAACCAACCAACCAACATATATAGTTAGAAAAATTAGAAGAGACGATAGATTTTCAATTTCTTCTTTATTCTATTCAAATAAAAATCAACGAATAATTCATAACCAAAATTCTTTTCGGAACAGGTATGAAAAAGTACTTCACAGACGTCTCGTGGAAGCGGAGGATAGACAGCATTCAGGTCGGCATGCAGTGTTGCGGGATAGATTCCTCCGACGATTGGCACAAGACGTATTGGCTTCAACGAGAATTTCTTCTAGTCGACTCGCCCGATATCTTGAGGTGATTATCAGTTAATTATATGCCGAGGGACAATGCGCGCCGGTATCAACGTGGTAACGAGGCGGCGGTATCGACCGGGGAGGCTGTGAAATCTATATCCTATCCGCGTTTATCGGCCCGTTATCCCCGTCATGGTGCACGAGAACAATGCGCCAAGGATTATCGTAGCCTTGCGTTTCCCCTGAAAGTGGCTCGAGATGGAACGTCCTGAAGAAAGAGGGGAAAAAAAAAAGAAACGAGAAGCGTATTATTAAAATTTTATATACCTGTTAAACCAGTTACCATAAACGATATATCAAGCCCCGGTTCGTGAAAATTTCCACCAATATAATTTGCATAAAGATGAAAATTTGACGTGATAATAATAATAAGGGGTGAAAAATAAATGTTTCACTGCGAGATATTCTCGACTCTCGATTAAATCGTAATTTTGGTGAATTAATATTAAAAGAATCTATCGAAAAATATTCGATCCGAGCGAATAGCCCTAAAGTTTCACTAAGAGCAAAATTTCCAGGAACTTTAATGGAATCGTGGAAAGTATGCCAGGATTTTAATTGCACGTGTATATGATTCACTATCGAAAGCAATTAGTTAGAATTTTTCAAGATGCTCGAAACATTTCTTTAAAATGTTCGAGGAAATAGTGCACGCGGAAGTGGACACGCAAAGAGGGTGAAACGTTTTTCACCCCGGTTCCAAAGGGGCAATTGCAAAGTTCCACGCCCTGCTGGAGAGGATTGCTACCGGAAAGGATTTAAAAAGATGGTAACTGACCACGAGGTAAAGTGCCCTTCCACGGGCCAAATTATTTCCCTCGTCTAATTCACTCTAGCTTTTCCGCTTTTAACCAACTGTGCACGAAAACGTTTAGAGATTCGTTTCTTTCCAACCGTATTTAATCAATTTCATCGTTCGTTCAACATAAATAATCTCATAATTGTCGAAATAAAACCATCATCGGTTCGATTTGTAAGGAACATTTTAAATCTTCTAAATTGTCCTCGTCTCGATACCTTCATCATCTTCAATCCTCGAGAAGAAGATCTTTCCTTATCCCCTTTTTTCCTCGTCTCTTTCTCCTGGAAATTCTCGGCTCGGTTCATAAAGTTCGGTTCGCTCGATACCGGGATCGTCGGGGTTGCCGAATTTTCTGTGGAGAGAGGCCGCGCAGAGAGGCGGAAGTAACGGATGCGAAACAATTTGAGAACGAAACAATTCATCCCCGGGTTGAATGCAACGGGATGGTTGCTTAGAGTAGTTTCGCGGTAATTGCCTAATAGTCAGGTTTCTGCAGGGCTGACGTATGTGTGCATTAATGCGGTGGCGGTAATACGTTCGATAATAAAGGGTTAATAGCGCGTTCCGAACAGAAGCCTTTGTGTCGCGGCTGGTAATCGCAGATAGAACAGTGGGTTATCGATTTCTCGTTATGTTAATTGCAGAATTATACCTTCCAACTGCATCGATCCACCTCCTCCCCTCTAGCCGCAACTATTCCCAAACCGTCGACGCCGCCCCCTCCTTCTGTTCCACGTCGATCTCCTCCTCCTCGTGAAAATCCATCCAGAGATTATTATTATCGTATAATAATCGCGACGGCGAGGTTAACTCGATAAGGAGTAGCATACGTGAATAAATACCTTCTCGTTCCCCCTTCCTGAGAAGATAAATTTGAAGAAGAGATTCTTTTTCGGTAATTTGTATCAATCATTTCGAAAGATTAAGACGATAAGAGTAGCTATCGAGTTACTTTCACCGATCTCGAACGAGGTTCAATAAATTTTTTATCAATCAGGGATTAATTGAGAATAATTAATGAATATCCAGTTTCTAAATGAAATTTGAAAGATACGATATAATCCAGTTTACCAGAGAGAGAGAGAGAGAGAGAGAGAGAGAGAGAGAGAGAGAGAGAGAGAGAGAGAGAGAGAGAGAGAGAGAGAGAGAGAGAGAGAGTAGTAGTACGTAGTACGTACGTACGTAGTACGTACGTAC